GAGACCTCACAATACCGCGTGCATAGAGAAAGAAAGACAGACAAGCAATCACACAGTACAATTTTCGCCACGTGAAAGGACCCCAACTACGCGGTTTCCCCTCATCATAACCGCTTACTGAAATCTGGGGTTTGGGGTCATCATCAAGGCTTTTTTTGCCTCTTCGAACGCTGGCCGGCCACTCCTCGTTGCGACGTTTGTGGAAGCGTTCGAGATATAGCATAATTCAGCCAGTCAGAAGCAGTCCATTTACCTCCAACTACTTTTGATAGTGGATCCTTTCCGGTCTAGGCTTCGATCTATCAACTCTACTTTGTCGTCACGGTTGTGTCTGGCAACCATATTCTGAACATCCCGTCGTCCGAACCACCAACCTTATCACTTTATTGTTCGGGAAACGTCCGTAACGGTAAACTCACACTCTAACCGGCGACGCCTCGCGGCGAATCGTTCTTAGGCACTACGTAGCCAGGCACTGCACCTCCTTCGCTTCTGCACGCCACCCGGTTGTCCTTACAAAGATTCATAACTGGGTAGCCTCATTGTCTTCATCCCGGTCTTATCCCCTTATAACCATCACGATACGGGCTCCAAATCCGGCACCGATTTCACCCTTTCCGGCTCTCGTCTCTCGGGGATTTCTCGCTTTTATGTGCTGAACATTCTCTCCTGTTCTGGGTAAGTTCTATGCCAAACCCGTTTACCTCGATGTTCCCTGATCCCACGTTTCGGCACTGAGCACCTGTTGTTATCGGACTTGCGGAGGCGTGCCATTACTGCCAAATCCCGTCCTGGGCCCTCTTGTCCTATCACAGCCGTCGGCTGTTTTCACTCCCCAAGATGCTCTCCCTCACATTCGGCTACCCCAGTGTTCTGTACACTGAGGGTGAAGCTCAGAGGGTGTGCATGGGGGTGCATGTAGGGTCCACTTGACTCTTGTCTAAGTCAGCTCGGTCTCAGTACTCTGCTTATATCAGAGCCATATACCCTCTCAACTTGGACCTGCCTTGGCTATTGTATTCATCACTCATCTTCTCCCATTCAAGAAAGCACTTCGTGTAATGCCAAACTACTTCCTACAAGAGGGCTGTCATTACTTCTATCGAACCGCTCTCCGCGGACTCAACGTTAGCACAAGCGTGTCACCTCTCTACGCCTAAACTTCGTTTCCATTACCGCCGACTAATACCATGACTCAAGTCCGCACTTTTACTCCTCCTCAGCCTCTTGGAGACAGGCTCTCTGATCCAACTTCTGCTCCAAACCCTGCTGGTTCTACTGTTCCTCGAACTCTTCCCGATATTCCAGAGCTTGCTCAGCCACGACGCAATTCTCCCCCCAGACTTAGCGGCGACTATACTCGTGTTCCAATGGCCAACTACAACGAGTCACGGAAAGATGGTGGCATCACTTTCTCTGGACAGGACAAACTGCCCAAGCTTCCCATTCCTGAACTCGAGGCCACCTGCAAGCGGTATCTTGAAGCTCTCAAGCCACTCCAAACAGCCCGGGAACATGCAGAGACACAGCATGCCGTAAACGAATTCCTGAAGAGCGATGGCCCTGAGCTCCAGGAGAAATTGAAGGCATATGCTCAGGGCAAGACAAGCTACATCGAACAATTCTGTATGTCAGAACATACGTCTGATCTATACCAAAGTACTGACTTTCATAGGGTATGATTCTTATCTCAACTTTGATAACCCTGTTGTTCTCAACTTGAACCCTTTCTTCTTACTTGAAGATGACCCGACTCCCGCTCGCAATGATCAAGTCACACGTGCTGCTTCTTTGGTCGTCTCATCACTTGAATTCGTTCGTGCAGTACGAAAGGAGGAGCTTGCTCCGGACAAGGTCAAGGGAACTCCACTTTGCATGTACCAATTCTCGAGACTCTTTGGCACTGCGCGAGTTCCCACCGAGGAAGGATGCCAAATCGAGCAAGATCCTGAGTCGAAGCACATTGTCGTCATGTGTCACGGCCAATTCTACTGGTTCGATGTCTTGGATGACAACTCAGATGTCATTATGAGTGAGAAGGATATCTCCATCAACCTGCAGACCATTGTTGATGATGCAACCCAAGTTCCTATCCAAGACGCTGCCAAAGGCGCTGTGGGAGTCCTGAGCACCGAGAACCGTAAAGTATGGTCAGGCCTTCGAGATGTCCTGACCAGCGAGCCTGGTTCCAACAATGCGGATTCACTCGGAATTGTTGACACAGCCCTCTTCGTTCTTTGCCTCGACTACACAGAACCTGCAGACGCCGCAGCCCTTTGCCAGAACATGCTTTGCGGCACCAGCGAGATCGAGAAAGGTGTTCAGATCGGCACATGTACCAACCGATGGTACGACAAACTTCAAATCATTGTTTGCAAGAACGGAAGTGCTGGTATCAACTTTGAGCATACTGGTGTCGACGGCCACACAGTTCTGCGATTCGCTAGTGATGTTTACACCGACACCATTCTTCGATTCGCCCGCACAATCAATGGCCTGGCTCCTTCGCTCTGGGCATCTTCCAGTCCCGATCCCTCCAAGCGTGATCCCGAGAGCTTTGGAGATGTTAGTGTCACTCCTCGAAAGCTGGAGTGGGATATGGTCCCTGAGCTGAGCGTCGCAGTTCGCTTTGCAGAGACTCGATTGGCAGATCTCATTGAGCAAAACGAGTTCCAGACTTTGGACTTCGGCCACTATGGAAAGAACTTCATCACTTCCATGGGATTCTCTCCAGATGCCTTCGTTCAGATGGCTTTCCAAGCTGCATACTATGGGCTTTATGGTCGTGTTGAATGTACATACGAGCCAGCCATGACCAAGACGTTCCTACACGGCCGAACCGAGGCGATCAGAACCGTCTCGTCAGAAGTTGTTGAATTTGTCCAGGCCTTCTGGGCAGATAACCCTGTCGACGCCAAGATCGAGGCACTCAGGAGGGCGTGCCAGAAGCACACTGCGAACACCCGACAGTGTCTGAAGGCCGAAGGCTGTGACCGACATCTCTACGCCTTGTTCTCCGTATGGCAGAGGAGCCTGGATGATGACCTTGACAGTGGTTTCAACAGCAATGGCTACTCTAGCCCTGGAGATGGATATTCCGACCAAGCAGGATCGCTCGTTGGAAGTCCGGGTAACGAGTCGCTCCCCTCTGTTGACGGCGTCGAAGTGAGACCTACACGAGATCGTGGCTACAGCGTCAACTCTAGATCGCGAGACCAGAACCCACTTCCCCTTCTGTTTGCTGATTCTGGATGGGATAAGCTCAATAACACAATCCTTTCGACTTCTAACTGTGGTAACCCTTGTCTTCGCCAGTTCGGTTTCGGTCCCACCTCAGGAGATGGTTTCGGTATCGGATATATCATCAAGGATGAAGGGCTCGCCATTTGTGTAGCTAGCAAACACCGTCAGACAAAACGCTTTGTTGATACCCTCGAGAGCTATCTTCTTGAGGTTCGTCGCATCCTACGTATCGACAACCGCAAGATGTCAACTGGAAAAGCGAGCCGTGCTCGCGAGGTGGAATTCGAGAGACCCAAGCTCGTGAGCCGCATCAAGTCTAGAGGTCGTCCCATCACCGCTGTTGAGAGCCTGCGATCCGCGACTGGCACAACATCCCCCACCAACGAGAGTAGCACCTTTAGTGAAGATGACGAAATGGGCGGGTGTAAGTTTCACCTCTTTTGCCTTCGAGTCCTCTCAACATAGTGTACTAACTTGATAACTAGATGGATTCTTCGATGCTGGTATGCTGTTGCAAGCTCTCAAGGCTCGCAACGAACAGTTTGAGTCGACCGATACGCGCGCTTCAGACAGGGCTGCAGCTGCTCAGGCTCGCCGCCGTGACATTGGGAAGAAGCTGAGACTGAGTGATTATTAATGATCATTTCATATCATATCGTACATATTTCATTGCATAGCGTGGTCATGGATCTTGCATGGAGTTAAGGGTGCTCATGTTTTATATCGAGACACCTAGGTGTAAGCATTGAAAGTGGTGAATTTACAGTTTTTGATATTTGTAACGAATTCATATACATGCGCCTTGTCCAACTTTGATTGCTACAAGATGTTCTTACAAGTGCTAAGTTATCGGTGTCGCATAATGTAGCGTCGCCTGCCTCGGGGAAAATTGAGCACCGAGAGGTTGGCCTGCTTTTGGAGCACGTATCCTAACATTGTAGATAGAACAAGCGATGGTCCCTTTGACGGGGATCATGCATCAGTCGAATATCGTTACTGTACAGAACCGTGTAAGCTCAGTCGTATTATATACGGATCTCGCGACTTGGTTTTGTATCATGGAAAAGGAGGGTATAACCTGTGCAAACCTGACTGACACTACTGGGACGGCAATCACAGACACGGCCAAGACACTCACACATTAGAAGCCATGCAAGTTAAAGCAACCCTGATTCAAAGACCTAGTCTAAATACAGGTAGGGGTTTCCTCCTCTCCCAGGCCAGCAGACTGGCGCCTTCACAAGGACCTCTCCTCTTATTCCCCAGTAGAAAGCAATAAATCATCGTTTCCTTAAAGTCATACATCCCAAACATGAATCGTTCCCGAGTCGAATTCGCAAGCAAATGAAAAGGGAAAAGAAAACCAATAGGTTTGAAAAGAATTCAGTCGTCTATGCCGATGTCTGATGGTTGTGATCTCGCCGATCCAAATACATGTACACCCCTTAATCGTGATACCCATACCCTCATGTGCGCAGCCATTCTCCCCAAGCAAAGCACACGAAAAGCAGTGACCCCAGGATAAGCGGCTGTAGTCCTATAGCGCCCTTTTGATAATGTACACACGGCAAGGCCCTGAAGGCCGTCGTGTCAATCGATCGCGATGGGCCTGCGCCCTTTTGACTATGCTTCTGAGACGTGGTGAAACAGATCAAAGGAAAATCGTGAATCATGGAGGTGCCGACCTTGCGGTACCACTAAAAGCCATAATGAACGTCATTTTACAACCAGGTCTATAAAAATGTCAAGACACAAGTCTAAAACCACTCGGGCTGTTCGCCCTGACCAGTGCTGACATTTCCATTGCCATTGGTAGGGCTCGTAGGGCCACTGTTGCCACTGGCTTGGCCAGCAAAGTTACTGTTACCGGCGCTACCATTAGCGGCACCGTTGGCAGCAGGATTCGGGGCAAAATTGACAGGAGTCATCTGTCCGTACTGAGGCTGCTGAACAGGTCCACCAGCAGTAGGACCTTGACCGTTCATGGCGGGGTTGGGGGAGTAGATAGGCATGTTCTGGCGCATAGGTGGCATAGGCCCACCGTGAGGCATACCATTGCCCTGGAGAATCGGACCACTTCCAGAAATACCTCGAGCGTGAGTAGCGCGCATAGGAATTTGACCCTGGGTGTTGTCGGCTGGTGTCACTTGCCCGCTTGAGGCAGCGCTTCCACGATTGTCGAAGGCCGAGATCTTAGCTTGAATACGACGGCCGTAGGGAGTTGTTCGAATCTGGGGAAGGATGGGGCGGATGGCCTCCACAAGACGATGCTTTTGATGAGGAGTAGCATACTCAAGAGCAGTCTGAATGACATAGTTGGCGAATGAGTCCCGGAGGAGGCGTTCCATCTCCTGGTTGCGTAGTAGCTCCTCCACAATCAGATCCTTGGAAGGTGGCTGGGCGCAGCGCAGGCACTTCTCGATGACGTTGGAGCTGAACTTATGGCGGGACAGCTGAGTGATACAATCCTTGAAGGTAAGAACGATAGGCTCGGTGAACAGAGGTTCGTTCAAGTCAATAATGTACTGAACGACATAGTTGCCGAAGGGGTCCTGGACAAGGATTCGTGCATGCTCGGTGATTCGCTGGATAAGCCACAGCTTCTGGTCGCCAGAGGCATGGTCGATGCAGCGCTGGAGAACACAGCAGCCATGTCGGTGAGTGCCTACTTCGACACAGCTGCCGCCAACAGCGTCAAAGATGAACTGCGCATCAGGGGGGGTAAGTTTGTTGAGACACTTCTGAATGACATGGTTGCCGTTGAGGTCCTGGATAAGCTCCACAACCCGGTAGCGAAGAGCCTCGATGATGATGTGGACCTGCTGAGGGGTGCTCACATACTCAATCATCTTCTGGAGTGCGCGTGTGCCGTGCTGGTTGAGCGCGATGCGGACCATATCCTGGGAAGCATTTTGAATCAAAACAGTCCTCTCATCGTCATTGCAGAACTCAAGGAGCTTTTGGCACAAATAATTACCAAACGGGTCCGTCATGAGCTCAATGACGTGCTGGTTGGTTTCGACCCAAATCATGTGAACCTGATCGGCGTTGCGCTCCTCAAGCTTCTTCTGGAGGTAACGGCAGCCATGCTGATCCTTGCAAAGCTCGTAGATGTTGCCCACGAAGGAGTCAAGGGGCGTGTTCTGGTAGCGAGACATGGCTGCAAAGCAAGTCAGTGTGTGCTGATACGGAACTACTCTGGAGTTAGACTCACCTTCATTGTCCAGCTGTCGGCGATGCTGGATGACGCGTGCCTGGCTGTCTCGAGGTTGGTTACCTTGGTTGTACGGACCGGCGTTGTAGCCGTTGTAGTTCTGGGGCTGGTACATGTTGCTGCCGTTGGCTCCATTCATGTTCATCTGCTGCATACTGTTCGCGAGCATGTTGACATTGTATCCTCCTGGCTGATGGGGGGCACCCTGAGGCATCACCTGGGGAATGCCGCCTTGAGGAATACCTTGAGGAGCACCGTACCCGTTGGCGGAATAGAACACATTGTTGTAGTTGTTGTTCGCTGCTGCGGCCCCAGCGGAAGGGTTCACCATAGTAGAGGGTTGCACTGCAGCTGTGGTACTGGGCCCAAAGGGAGCGGCACTGGCCTGCAGGGCAGACTGAATCGAAAGATAGTTGTGCTGCTCACGGCTAACAGCAGGGTTTTCTGAAGAGAGCTCCCGACTGTGGCCACGATGGACCGCACCAGCTGGGATGCGGCCAAGGCTAGCATTGTGGTTGTGAAAATGCTGCTGTGCATGATTGTTTGTCTTTGAAGACGAAGCCCCAGGGCTCTTGACCGTGGGAACCTCGCTCGAAGAAAACGAGCTCTGCAGCTTAGGGGGAGTCGCCATGTTAGGAGTCGCACTAGGAGACATGATGGTACCAGTCTCAACGGCGTTTTCCGAGATATACTTGAGATCCATAGAATGGCGGAGGGAAGTAGGTCGCGATGCTAGGCCAACAAGATCGCTTACGATGTTGGAGCTTCCGTTGATCGACGAGAGACTCTGCTGAGGGCGATGACGGTTAACAACACGGCTCCAACCTCTTGAAGAAGATGTCGACTCGGGATTAGGAGACGGGGATAGGGCAAGATCTAGGGCGGCCGAGGACGCTGAGAGCTGAGAGTAAAGTTGTGGGTCAGAATTCGACGCAACAATAGTACAACAATATAGGTTCTACGGCGGGGCGCTCGAATAGATCGATAGAGGGCCAAGAGCTCAAGATCTTATTGCGCCAAAGGAAAAACAGTAGGGAAAGGAAACCGACTAGGCCTTATGCAGGAAAGTGGAGGGTGGTTCTATGCAGGAGAGCAAATGCTGAAAGACAATGGGAGCGTGGTTCATGGAGAGCTCGAGGTGAATATGCACCTCATGGAGAAATGTGGAGCCCAGGTGTAAGTCGAGAAGTTGGTGCAAAGCAATAACTTCCTGAATATAGTCTCCGCGGAGCTGGCTCCATTTTAGGGGGTAGACGAAAAGTTGCTGAGATGAAAGAAAATGAAAATACTTACAATCTGATCGTCGTGGCGAACAAGAGTTGGGAAGTTTGCATCAGGACCAGTATGGCCGCCAGCATTCGTCTCTTCGTCGCCAAAGAGAAAACGAGTAGTGTTTGTTTGGTCAAGACCAACATCATACATCCCCGTACGTGACCGCGTCACAGGCATCGAGTATCGGTTGATGCTATCGTTGAAGTTCACGGTCAGCTTTTTTCGATCATCCATAATGACAAGTTCGTGTGGTATGAGGATTATTGTATCGTAGATGGATTTGTGTTGTTTGAAGAGGTTGAGTTGGTTGGAGCTGAGGCAGAGGTTCAAAGAGAGGATTATATAGTCCTCTTGAACCTTTCTGTTGCGAGAGTGAATCACTGTTTGATTTATGCGAGGGTTTTGCCTTCTCACTAGAGAGTCCTCATATAAATCAGAGCCTTCATACTTTGGCTCAAAGTTAAGATTCACCCACCAAAAGCAGCATTATTCACGCCGAGAAGGTTCGAACGCAGGAAACCTAATGCAAAAAAACCTAACCTGCGTGCTTTTATGGCAATTTAAAGCAAAGCCCGAAGCTGGACCTGCAAGAGCTCTAATGGCAAACTCCACTTGAAGAGATGCTCGCTCGGGAATGGAAAGGCATGGACATGCAATAGGAGCTGTCACTTACGCATTACCAGAGCGATGACTGCTGGGATCTTGTCGAACAGCCTCCTCCTTCTCATCATCACTATTTCTTCGCGTAGTTGGCACAGAACGAGAAGGCATCTGGGTCGTAGTATCCTCAAATCCAAAGCGTGCCTGTCTGATACCGGATTGGGGAGATGCGAGTTGCGACCCGGATCTAACAGGGCGGTTGAAGAGACCTGGGGGGGAGGTCAAGCTAGACATAGAGTATCGGCTCGGCCGCGATAAAAACGTAGGGAATCCAGAGTTGTCTCGGTATTCGGGAGGTGTGGTTGGCTCGGACTGATGGCCGCCCATTCTACCAACTTCCTCCTCCATCTGAGCAAGCTCCAAAGCCTCTCGTCTTTGTTGTTGATCCAGCTTTTGCATCTCGAGCTCAAACCTCCGCCTTTGCTCCCGGATTCGTTCATACTCCATCTTCTTCTTCTCGATCTGGGTCTATCATTAGTTAACGGCCGTATCTTGAGTTGGAGTTGGTTGATGTCGCATCGTTTCGGATTCGAGTGCTCAGGTTCGACTTGAACAAATCGGCAATTTCGAAGGGAACCCTGGGTGGAAAATACGAGCATCAGAACGTACCAATTGCACCTTATGCATTGCCTACCATCACACATGTCAGTACTTGCTGTGATTAGAAAGATTGGCAACTTTTGTAATCCATCACGAAACCATGCTACCCGAAGGCCTGTTGGGTTCCAAGCAAGCGACAGCTTCGTCATATGTTGATTACTCACATTATAGTCCTGGGAGGGTTCGGGCATCCGTTGAGCACCCAGAGAGGAAAGTGTCGGGACTCGACCAGAATCAGTGGTGAAGCGGCGAGGCAGGCCAGATCGATGGTCGTGGGCGCCGGCATGAGGGTTGACCTGGGGGGCAGGCATTCTGGAGGCATTTCGAGTAGGTGAGACAAACGAATGCATGGACTGGTCGTTGCCCCGCGGGGACTGCTGGGAGCGAAAGCGTAATTCATCCATGATGGACTAATAGATACAGCATAAAGATAGTACACGCCGAATTGGCCAGCGGACTCAGCCTATAATACTAAAGACATGAAAGAAACAGATGAGCATCAGTTACCGCGCTTGTATAGACGATAAGGTTTATGGTGAAGCAGAGAAAGGGCAAAAAGAGACGAGGTACGGAGTAGGTAAGTAGGTGGATGGAACGTTGTTGAGAGGCGGGGTGGACGTGGTCAGTGTGGGTAAGGCCCTGAGAATGGGGGGTGTCTTTTGGGGCTGGCTTCCTGAAGCAACGACACAGGGGTGTTGGTGGGCGCTGAGTTCGGTACACCTCAGACTAGGTAGACTTGGAGTAGCCGGCCTGTGTGCTTGAGGCAGTGTGATCATAGGCAGCCGGGATTGAAGGCGAACTGTACAGTACAACAGAACCCATTAGGACCCATAGGAGCTCAGGATATGGAGAGGACAGACGGGGAAGACTTGCTGGAGAGTGACGATAGAGCTCCAAGCCATACTGGCCACAACGATGTCGTGAACAAGGAGGCAGAAACAGAGCTCGGAGTGGAAGTGTTGAATTCGGAATGGTGCAACTAGGATGTGGTATGAAACGTGGGATGACAACATTTGTAGGAATGATCAAGGCCAGGAAAGAGAGGAAGGACGCCAGGGGATTATAATCTTCATACTCTGTCTGTCACAGTTCCGTCTGTCTTCTATATTCTGAAAGCAAATAACCCATCGCAAGAACAAGCGGGGAGTAGTTGTTTGTTTGGCCGTCTTGTCGGAATTAAGGTAGCATGGGCACGCGATCTATACCAAGTTGGCGTGCCGTGCCGCGATGTGAATGGATATCTTTCTACCAAAGCGAAATATGTATGGATGGGGGATATTGCACTATGTCGCCGGCGGCGGTGGGTGATTCGTGGTGCGGTGCGGGATGTCGGGTTGCGTATTTCGTGTCCGCCGCGCTATGCTCGGTACCTTTGGTTGAAGACGGGGCGATAGAACCCGACAGGACAGGACAGAACGTAACAGAACAGAGTAACAAGGTGATATAATAACGATTATAGTATTACAGACAACACGCCTTGAAGCTGATAGGTGTCTTTGAGAGAGGGTAGGGGAGCGAATGAGTGACAGGAGTGTAGAGATGGGAGGTACAGGTTCCTTCCTTCTGAGAGGTAGGTGCCTGCTTTGACGAACCAAAGATAGAGAAAGACTCCAGGTAGTTAGACAAAAAAAAGTGAACCAACCTGGATTTGAAATGGCAATCAACGCACGGGAGTCAACAATCAATCGTACAATAGACACTTGGCACGTGTCTTTGGTGGTGATACAATCAATGATCTAGGTAGGTAGTTACAGGCTTTTCTCTCACACAGCGCGCCCTGGAAGCCAGGAGCGACAAGCTGGTTTGGAGGAGAGGAAGCAAGTTGCGACCAGCAGATAGGTAGGTAGTCGAGGTAGACGTGAGAGTGAGTGATCAGAGGAGAAGGAAAATAGGTCAAGTACGGAGTATCCAGTTGACAATGGGGACCTAAAAGATTGGCCCAACGCGGGTGTTTGGCGCTCGGCTTAGAGGTCGGCGCGTGTGTATGTGGACACGAGACAGGGCCTCACGGACAGTAAAGGCAGGGTTTGGTTACAGGTCAAGGATGAAGCAAAGAGCAGCAGGGATATATACAAGGTTTCCATTGTTTGGGACCTAAAGTTTCTCATATTTAACACCGAGCATTGTGTTTATAAACTATATCTTTCGGTTACATACAAGCCAACACACAAACATTTGATGCTATACGGAACGAGAAAAGAAATCATGTTCGTTAAGGGGTTGTCTTACTCAAGAGTGAGGCTGGTTGTTCTGCTCCAGATCTACATGTACACCTCGGCTTACCTCTGTCCCGGAAATCAAGATGCCAGCGTCGCACTGAAGTTTGTTAGACCAAGCGGGTAACTTACATGACATACACACACGCACGCACGCAAGACACCTCCCTCACATGAAACTTTTTCCAAGAACTGCGTCTGGTCTATCAGAGCCCAAAAAACCACTAACGAGACCATCAGTGGAACCCCAAGCCAGGCACCCTCAGAACAGAAAAGCAAAATCCCCAGGGGACGGAAGGGAGGGAGGGGATAGCAGATGGATAATGTCCACTTCTTCCAACGGCTAGGCACATAAACTAGTGGCGGTCGAGTCCAATTGGTCTGTCGGCTTTATTCCAGAAGCAAGTGAGTGTGAAGGGTCCATCTGTGCTTATAAATTTGCATATAAAAGCTCAGTAATTCAAGCTTGTCTGGATCCAGTAGTGTAATAGTTGTTGTTGCGGATGGTCGAATAAGCCTCAGGGTCTTCTCGTCCCAACGCCTTTAGAGGTGGGCTATGGCATGAGCATGGTGTTGTACAATGCTTGAGTATGTGCTGAGGGATGCATCGTATGTTGAGACAATCATGCCAGCTGAGACAGCCAGATATTTACAGTATACACATAACACACTTTAGTTGACTCATGTTCGTCGAAGAGATTGGGCCGATTTATACACATTGTATCGGGCCTTGGCCATAACGGCCTCGGATCTAATCGTGCATTGGAGCGCAGGTTGACATGAGCATGGAGGGTTGCAAGGATTGTGCATAACGGCTTGTTAAGGTCCCTGGGCAGCGGCACGTTAGTTTATTGCAATGATAAAAAAACCTCGACTACGGTCATCGTGAGTGTTTCTCAACCTGCGAGCATTTATCGGAGTATTTATCCCACCTGACCTGTGTATATGTTGTACCAGACGATAACTGGTCGATGTTCCGCGCTACTCGACAGATTCACACTACGAATTGTGAGACAAGCATGAATCTGCAGGGTGATGAGGAGAGATGCGTCCACTCCGTAGTTAAGGCTGCTATTGGGTCATGCACTCATTTTCCCCTCCTACGACAGGAAGCTTCAGCCTCTGCATCTGCCAGGATCAGGAATCGACTGGTTCGTAGCAAGTCTCTAGCCTTTCCTGTAATTCCTTTTCAACCGTCCAGACTCAGAAGAGTCAAGAAGAGAGTCACTCACAGAGACATCCAGGAACTTGCAACGTGGGAGATGTCAGAGACCAAGACACACAGAGCCTCTGAATGCCAGTTGAAAGAAACTTGACTCAATCGTGTCAACCCACCAAAATCTCTTTTCGTGAATGGACAATGATTGATATCTCGAAGCCCCCCGGTCTCAAAGAGGCACTCAAGACATGGACCAAGCGCACATCCCCATCACTCCAATATACTCCACCGATTGGTTGGTGTTTCTATCCTTCCTGCACGTCACCCAAAAGCCGTCCCATCCTGAACTGCAAAAGCCAAACTAACATGTCCCCAGATTGACCTTGATGCATCGACCAGGAACGCCCTGACATGGGAGTTTTGCTTATATCAACCTGACAGGTCCGTTGCAGCACAAGCTGTCAATATTAAGTCGGGCCTCATATTGCCACTCTATTTCGACAGCATCTGTAGCCGTCAGCCGTCCGCCACAGACATTTGACACATGACGATCCATAGCCTAATTTCGTTCACCGCTTCCAATAAATCCTCCACCTGGCGCTTCGTGGGCTTTAAGCTGATTCACACCTCTGACTGGCATTGCTAATAAGAGGCCAATGACACGGGAATCGCGGTGCCTGGCCATGGGATACAAATGATGGATTTCGTATCGTTAGTTACTTGTTGATGGAGCCTGACCAGGAACCGATTCGTTAGACAGTCATGGCCTTGGTCCGTGGTGCGTGCGACTTGCGTCATGCTTCCCTTTGGCCTTGCGCAGTAGCGTCTTGACTATGATGCTATCGAGGCCAATCAGCATCAACCGTTCTGAAATAAATACAAAGAGGCCATGGGGATCACAAAGGCCCTCGGCCTGGTCGGTACGAAATCCAACCTGATGAGCAAGCGTTGTTGCACATGGGGAACCACTAGTTGAGCCACTGCCGATGGGTTATGGTTGCGACTGTTCAAAGTTGCGGCCTCTTTATCAGGCACCATTGCCCCTCAGCTGTGAATAACTTCGTTCGCCATATCGACTATCTCATAGGCCCAAAACGATACGGTCAATTCCCGAGTCGGGCTGGGGAGCTATGACAGTGACTATTCTTGTGCTGAACCATCTTCACAACTCTAGATACCTGAAGCATTGTCTCTCTAAGACACCATCGATGGGCTTGAGTATGACAGTACATACACATTCTTCACTAACTTAACAGCTTGACGAAGCACGTCGAGATCCACCACCTGCTTCCTCTGCATGTCCCTCCTCTCCCCTCACTCTCAAAAAGACTCAATCCCTTCACCGACTTTTACAACCTGCCGCTACAAGTGGTCCATCAAGCTAGTCAGGTTGCAGTCCCACCCTACTGCGTCGCGACTCGAAGTCAGGGTCCGATCTGCTCACACTACGGGGCTAATTACCAGCGCCAAGAATCATGTCTTTGCTTCATCCCGCTACGATCGCAGCACGCACATGAGCCAGGTGAGTTAGCTTTCACGGGCCACTGTGTGGTCTCCCCATCTTAGAAAATGTCCGTCAAATACCCCAGTGACACACATCGATGCTAGGCATGAACAGATAGACAATTTGCAGATGGTTTCCTGCTAATGTATACATGCTCATGCGGGGTGTGATGTTGTACAGACGATCCCGAGGCCATGTCTCAGCACTTGCTTTGAGCAAAGTCTGAATTGCTGGGGGTTACAAAATGGCAACGGCCATAACGAGGAAGATGAATTGTTCTTTATTTCACATCCTGTGTGATTATTGCCTTCAGTAGGGACTAATTATAGTATTAGCAATCTTTTATTAGTCTCTTTAACGGCCTTTGTATTGCGTTCAAGTATCTAACTATTTGCATCACTATTTTAGATTTCAACCGAATAGTTAAATGAATCGAAACGGGTTTTTGTCTTCGATTGGTGATAATATGGTGCCAGTCTTATACTTGATGGGCTTCTGCGAGCCTATATGCTAGACGCTATCACG